TTCCGAGACAGTATCACTACGGAAGTAGATTGCCCAACCTTCCTTCCGAGGAGTGGCTGGTGGGTTTGAACCGCCAGCCTTCTGGTTAGCAGTAAAGTGCCTTAGGCCCTATGCTACCAGAGCTCCTAAAGCAGTACTAGGACTGGTTTAATACTAGACAGCTTCCATCAGAATGTTGCTCCTTTTTTAATCTTAGTCTTGACATCTAAGCATGTGATTTTAAACTTTTTTTAATTCTAAGCTTACAATTGACAATTTAGGGAGCTGTTATTTTTAGAAACACTCCAAATTTTGAAAATCACTCCAAATCAACCTTACATCCTAGACTTGCTGCTACTAGTTGGAAACTGGATTTTTTTTTCACCCTCTCTCCGGTAAGGCCAGTCAAGATACACCATAATCATTAAACAAGAGCAGAAAAATGAGTATGTTGAAAATGCCTTGTGTTTATAAGGCCCCAAGTAGGCTAGAACCTTTCCCTTTCAGTTCTTTTACAGTCTTGATTTTTGTTTTTCACAGGATCTGGTGAAAAGCCATTTGATGTATGCAGTAAGAGAAGAAGTGGAAGTTCTAAAGGAACAAATAAAAGAATTAGTTGAAAGAAACTCTTTACTTGAACGAGAAAATGCACTGTTAAAATCTCTTTCAAACAATGATCAGTTATCCCAACTCCCAGCCCAACAGGCCAATCCTGGTAGCACTTCTCAACAGCAAGCAGTGATAGCACAGCCTCCACAGCCAACGCAACCTCCACAGCAGCCGAATGTCTCCTCAGCATAAGCTTTCTTGCCTCATTAAGAAAAAAACTGAAAGCAATCTATCCTTGTGTGCCACTGGTGTTCTTTCCACTTTATACGAAAGCAAGTAGCCATGCTTCGGTTGTGTGTTTGGCCTTTTCAGTATTAGACAATCATTCTACAAGAGCTTTTCCTCTCTTTGAGATGTCATGCAGCGCTGTTGATGTGTCAGTTCTGTGTCATCAATACAAAAGGAGCATAATAGTTGGGGTTTATTAACAGGAACAAAGTCTGCATTTTACCTGATGCTCATGAGTGAGGTCTTTAAGAGCTTTGGTGGCTCTCCCTTGATTCTGGTTATCCATGGAGTACCCTGAGCCTTTTCTATCACATTATAAATAACAGTTCATCTAAAGAGCCACTTTTCTTTCAATATCAGTAACATTTGCCTACATAAGTTTTCATTTATTTGTGTTTTATTTATTACAGGGCTGCTATTTTCATAATGTACATGAACAATGTCACAGAACTTTTTTAATTTTTTTAAATAAATATAAGTATCAGTAAAGGAATTGAAAGACAGGATTGCATTTAATAGAAAACGTTTAGGCAATAATTGAACAAAAGAATCCTGCCATATTTCTAACACTAATGGCAATTTACCTTCGGTATTTATTTTCAGTAGTAAAGACCCAGCTTGAATGTAAATTTTGTATAGTGTAAGTATGAAGACCATAGTGCAACTGTACAGGTAGTCACCAGTTATTGTGATACAATAAATAATTGGGCTATTTTGATGAAGAAAACTTTGTTCATTTGTTTCTACTTTCTAATAGAGAAATTGCCATGATTCCTCTGCTTTTTGACATTTCGTATGACTTTTTTTTCGGGTGGGAATAAAAAGCTGTGAAATTGTTCAACCTACTTTGTAACCAAAGAAGCAAAGCTGTGTAATGGAGTTTGTTTTTCTTTTGTTTGTTTGTTGGTTTATATATATATATATATATATATATATATATATAAAAAATACACACACACACAGACACATATATATATATATATATATATGTGTGTAATGCACATTCTTTATGTATTTTTTTTTAGTGTTTTCTCGGTCACAATTTTCTTTGCTGTCTAGCATGATCTGCATGACCTATAATCTTTGAACCACTTCCGTACCTCATGTTTTTATCCAGCACTCTTATTGTAATATGTACTAGTCTGTGAACAATGTCAAATAAAAAGAACGAACAGGTGGTATGGTGGAGCTGAGCTAGTGTACTGTACACTAGTTGTAAAAAAAAAAAAAAATGAAGTGAGCCATCTTTTGTTCATTTAAAATGGTGTTTTGAATTTCGTATGCAGAAAACGTTTTGTTACATTGCAGATTTTAATGTATTTAATAAATGCAACATGCAGATTAAGTGCAGTGTATACTGAGTATTTAAATTAAAATGTACATTTCATAAATACAGTTTCAAGAGAAAGCATCATTTTGTGTATACTAACACATTAAGTGTATGTCAGAAATTGATGTATAAATATATATTTTAACACATTTTCTGAAATTAAACTGCAGTTTTGTTGAAATATTTGGCTCTATATGTGTTCAAAATTTAATTTGATTAGATTTGTATTTTCACATTTCAAAATGTTCCTTAAATGAAAGTCTATGTTATTAGTGACTAGTGATAGCTTTTAAATTTTCAAAGTAAATAATGTAAAGGAATGAAAAAAATAGCAATATCTGTACTCTATTCATATTATGTTAATAATACTTTAGTAGGAAATCCTTGTCTACCAAAATTTTTACTTGAATTCAGAGAGGTGCCTGTAGAAATTAACATGCTCTGTATCTATAGCCAGCTAGCTAAGCAGGAGTTAATGAGAACCAGTAATTAGTTCTCCATGTTAAAGGAAGATAGTTTTTGAAATACTCAGATTAGCCACACAAACCACACACACACAAGGCATAAAATTGGGGTGTAAATGGAGTTACCAAATATTTTATATTGATTATGCTGTAGGATATAAACAAAATGTCAGTAAACAAAATTTTATTGTTAATGAATAATACTAGAAATAACTAGAGAAACTAAGTGCATAGGCTTTACTAAGTAACCCTAAGAATGTAGAGTGAGATTTTAGGTGAAGGCAGATGAGATAGAATGTAAAACTTCACCGTTGGAATGTTACCAGAAGAATTCCTGGGTATGCCCTTCAGATGCTGACAATGTGATAGTCAATACAGGTGGAGAAAAACTAATACTTAGAAACGTTTGAGATTTTTGTAAATGTAACAAATTTTGGTTCTGGGAATAGCACAACACTTTATAAACAAAAAAGTAATAGAAGTCACAAATGATTAAAATCTTAAAAGTTTAATTAAAATGATAATTAACAAACAGTTACTACTTTTACATTTTAAAAAATAACAAAAACAAAAGACTAGAACAAAACACAAACGACAAGGGAAAAAACATGGATAGTTCACAAGAGAAATAACTGTCTTTATGTAGCAGGACTTAATGCTAGAAAGGTAGACTTTCCTGTGTACTTCTAGAAAGTAATTTGGCAATATGTATCAAGAGCCTTAAATATTAATATTTGATTCAGTAACATTTCCAGGAATGTATTCTAATTATTTAGAAGTGCAATTAAGGATGTTTGAAAAATTGGAAACACGTGTCAAAAATAAGATTTTTAACTCAATTACAATGCATCCATAAAAAAGAATATTAAATAACTAAGAATAAGCTTTTCAGTTTAATGACATGAGAAGACATTCAACTCATGCTGCAATGTTTTTTAAAAAAAAAAAAAAATTGCAAAATTGTAGTTCCTGTCCTCTGCACTCTCATCATCTCCCCGTATTTTTTGGAGAATTTGTTAGGGATCTGTGGAAGGAAGCCTTTACATCTAAACCTACTCCCAAGAGGCATGTACCCATTTCAAAGGCAGTGACAAATGTTACAAGGGTAGGAAAAGTTACTATGTTTATTACTATCAGATCTATTGTCTTTGGAAACAACTTCAAACATTTCCCTAACTGATTCATTTAGAATCTTAAATAACTCAGTTTTACCTGGAGACTTAGGGTCTCCTGATCTACATAACTGGAATCAACTTACTGAGATCCCATTTTGGGGGCACAGGAATACCAGTTCAATGTTCTGAGCTATTTAGAAGTGCTGAGGCAAGAATGTTTTACCATCAAACCCTAGTGTTATTGGTCATTGGAACTGCCATTCACAAAAAATTGTCACAGATAGAGATTGTGGTATTCATCCAGTTTCCAAACTCTAGTCATTGGTGAATCTAAAAAAAGAAAAAAGCATCTTTAGAACTATAAAATTAGAATAACCAGAATACCTCTACATTTCATAGATTATATTTTTCTAGAACTAAAGAATGATTTTCTGGAAACAAGATTTAAGATGAGTTCAAATCATGTACTTTTTAAAGGAAGCTCAGTGTTAGGTACTTTGTGACATGGCTCAATTCTCTTACATAATCCTGTTAAAAGGATAAAACCCAACCCTCAAGATTCACAGTCTAGTTGAGGATATAGACAAGGCAGCTGATAGATGTAACAATAAAGTTGTAAGTATACCAGACAAGGATGGCTTTGTCAAGGACGGTTTCCTCAAAGACGTGACACCTGAGTCTTGGAGGACACACAATGCTCTTCCAAGGGGAAGAGCATTCATTCCAAGCACAAGAAAATAAAAATTTTCAAAAGGCTTAACGGAGAGTGTAACCAAGGCTCCTTTAGGGCAGCCACAGTGGTGTTTCACTGGAGACAGGCAATGAATGACAGTAGTTTTGACACAGTGGCTGCAAGGATGGGCTCAAACATAGCAACGATTTTTAGGGTGGTGCAAGACTTGGCAATGTTTCAAACTGTCGTACGTAGGGTCACTACCAGTTGGAACTGACTCAATGGCACATAACAAGCAGAAAGCAAGAATAATTTACTAAATGAAGTTACGCAGGAGGAGTTTCATGTTCAGATTTGGATTTTAGAAAAATTAGCCATTCCAGTGTTAGGTTAGAGGGCCTGAAACTTGAAGCTGAGAATTTAGGAGGGACAATAATAGTCCTGATGAGAAATGATGAATAGGTAAAGTTACGTGGGGGAAATCGTGAAGCTCTTGAAGGAAATGTGTCTTGGGTCTTACCAGTTTTCCTCCATGATAGGCTTTGTATTATCACCAGTAGGTCTCCTTTCTTGCTCTTCTCTAAGGAAAGATCAATGACTCCCAACATACTTGAAAGTTGAGGTCAATTTTTTTCCTTCCAACAACCATGTATTTCTGAGAAACTAAAGTCTTTTTTTCTTGTTAAAGGAATTTCAAGAATTTAACAAAAGGGTAGGGGGAATAGATGAATCTTGGCAGTAAAGTAACATTAAGCTTTTGTGTAAATTCGGCCCTAAAGGTAAACCAAATTTTGTCCTTTTGTGGTGACTAGGATTAGAGAGTCAAAGCCTGTCCAGAGCTGTTATTCCTTGCTTTCTGGGAAGAGAAATCTGAGGTCTTGCCCCCTTGCAGTTACTGACAGCCTGTCAGAATAGGTTTTGCTAGGCTTCAGCCTTTCATTCTTATATACAGGTCAACCAGCAGTCTTCTTTCTGCCCCCATGAGTCTCCTGCCTAAACAGAACTGGCCTGTTTCCCCCCACCTCCTGCCTCAAGTCTCCTAGTGATAATCCTTGTTTCAATCTCTAGCAATACCAATAGTTTATTATTTAGTGATATATATTTGCACCCTCTTTTTCTTTTTTGACATTCCAGAATACTCACCTATCATATATTTCTACCCCAGGTCTCGAACTATCTAGCAAGATCCACTCTTTAAATGCATGTACTCCTTTTGCCAGTGGAAGCATTATTGTAAAAATGCTATTGTAGTTATTTCTTTAGTAGGAAACAATTGGTATGACATGCTGTGTTCACAGATGAAAAATGCTAAGTGGGGCAGTATACAAAGCAAATTAAAGTTCACAGACATACTTTCTTTCCTCTGCCCCCCACCCCAGGGG